AGAGAGAGAGAGAGAGAGAGAGAGAGAGAGAGAGAGAGAGAGAGAGAGAGAAGCATTCTCGCGGCTACTACACGGGCCCATTCTTTCTGCAGCAGACCTCGTATGCCGCACAGCCCCTTTGGCTGTGCGACCTGCCGGGCCATGGCCACTGCATTTGGCCCAGCCTCATGGACTCACATTTTTCCCTTTTTTTGTTGTTTTGCATTTTCCTTTTGTGCAACATTTTTATTTATTGTATATTTCATTTTCAGTGAGTAGAGTTTGGGCTGGGATTCGGTGGTTCTATTTTCGTCTTCTTCAGAGGTGACATTTTGGATGATTCGTTCAGTCCGATCAGGGGATTACTGTTCGGACCAGTGGTTCTCAGGTAGGCCGAGGTAGGCCAGACTTTGTTTGTCCGGTAGTCGGACTGGACAAGCCGTTTGTCTGCATACGCCTGGCCCAGTCCTCCAGTTCCCTGCTACATCAGCAGGAGGGCATGGATGTCCGGTAGGGACCCAGGCAAGCGTTTTAGGCCAGAGTTCAGGACCAGAACTTGGTCGTGAGATCAGGACCAACGATTGGAGGACACAGATAGACCTAGCAGTATATAGCTGGGCAGTCAGCCTGAGGACATTCATTGTTTTCCAGTTGGTTCCTTGTGTGGCTGAGGGCTGAGGGCGAGCGCTGACGGAGGGATTTGCACTGGACGAGAGAGAGAGAGAGAGAGAGAGAGAGAGAGAGAGAGAGAGAGAGAGAGAGAGAGAGCAACTCCTGTGCATAGTAATATGTTAAGCTGGTAGCAGTAACCAAGCATCAAAATAAAACGAGGCATCTTGGCAACGAGTATGGAGGCTCTTGCAGTCGAGTCCAGAAGATTAGTTAGTAAAATGCTTTAGCTGCTTGTGTATGCCTCAGTGAAAGAATCAATATGCGGATGGTGATAGATGGTCCGTCTGTCACTATTTGCAGGTCTGATTTCTAGCATATCGCGGACAGTTTCTTGACTGCCCTCCTTGCGTACGTCTCGGTTGTCCTCACCCTCTTATCAGGATTTCTCATATATTATCCATCATGTATTTGCTTTTTTTAACTACGCCTGCCTATCTGTTTCAGATTCCTTGCCATCCCACCACCACGCGCATCTTTCGCTATACTCTTCCAACCTTTTTGGCGCTTCCGGTCATGCCTCAACAGGCATGTTGTGGTATGTCTGCTATCGTGACCCTTGTGCTAGTGTGCCAAATGTGTCTCTGTGCTCGTGAGTTGTCTTGTGGGTACGTGATGGACCTTAAACCACCAGTTCACACGAACCTAAATTGACGAACCAAAAGTTGCACTTTTCCGAGCCTGACTGCTACAGTGACAGGCCGAAAAGAAAAATCTCGGGGTACCGGTACCAGCCTACCTTGAAACTGTGTTGTACCTCGTGCCAGCAGATGACACCAAAAGGACAAGCAAAAAAAAAAAAAAACTAAATCCAGATCAATGAGAACAGAGGACGTTGCCGTTTCATGAAAGAAACAGAAAAGAGATGCTGAAAAGAGATGTTGGGGAAGGCATCTGACCTAGGGCATACTTACAATAGTGCTGTCCAGAATGTATCTGACCACTATCACGGCCAAATCAGTCTTCCCTCCCACCCTCTCCTTTCTTCTCTCTTTTAGTGCCCTGCCAGCAAGGCAGACGTTTCCACGTCCTCAGGAAAGGCCCTCACTGCGGGCATACTCACACTACGACTTTCCAGAATGTATCTGACCGCTATCACGTCCATATACTCGATTCCTTTTTCCTTTTTTTCCTTCTGCTTCTTTCCTCCTATTCACACTCTCAGGAATGCCCTCACTCAGGGCATACTCGCACTATTACTTTCCAGAATGTAGCGGATGGATATTACGTCCAAATGGGTCTTTGTTTTCTTGTTTCTTTCTAGGATTAGTGCCCTGCCAGCAAGGCAGGACGTCTGAGTAAATAGTGCAGTCAAGCCCAGTTTCTCATTGTTTTCTTTTTTTTTCTGGGCCCACCAGCCTTTTCCCTTCAAACCTGCCCCGTGTCGGATCACTGTTCATCTTGCCACAGTCACACTGTACTGCGTTTTGGTGAATAGCAGAGGTCCATGAATTGGTGGTTTAAGTGCTGTTGATGCAAGCATGTAGTAGAGGTCCATGAACTGGTGGTTTAAGTGCTCTTGATGCAAGCATGTAGGGCTTGATATCTCTGTGTTGCAGGTGCGGGAAATGCCGAATGTTCTCATTCTTCCGCACAGTGCGGATTACAGTGAAGAGGTGTGGACAGACATCCGGACCAAGGCTGTTGCATTAATCCACTCATATCTGGTGGAGGGAACAGTCCCAGATGATGCCATTTCAAAGGAGGATGAGGAAGAGGAGTTAGAAAGGGAGAGAGAAATGGAGAAGGAACTGGAGAGGGAAATGGAATTGGAGAGGGAGCGCGAGTGGGAGAGAGAGAGGGAAAGAGAGAGATTACGGGATGTCAGGGGAGGGGAGAAACGTGGGCATGGCCTGGAGATCGGGGTAAGCCAAGGGCAGGGCTGGATCACTGGAGAAGGGTTATTTTCACAGGGGCTTGGGTGGCAGATGCCTCATCCGCCTCTTCAGCATCAGCATCCACAGCAGCAGCGGGGAGTAGGAGGCCTGTCCTTGTTTGCGCCTCAATTTTGCCAGGGTGGACTAGATGGGGATGGTCCACATGAGGTTGTTGAACCTTGGGAGGTGCAGGGAAAGCCTGCAGATGACCCCGTTGAAAAGGGCTTAAAGGGGCCGCTCGGAATTGTTAGTGGGCTTGCAAACCTCGGCCTGAGTTTCAGACCTGGGTCCGGGGGAGGTAGTGGAGAGAAAGGGGGCGTGGGGGGGGGTAAGAAGTCAAAGAAAAAGTCTGCACGAGGACGCAGGCATCAGAGAACAAGGTCAAGCAACTCGCTTCAGTGGGAAGGGGAGGCAGTTCTCTCCAATCAAGTGCAAGCAGAGGAGCCAGGGGGTGAGAGGAAGGATGCCGAAACCATGGTGAAGGTTGCCAGAGAAGGGGTCACCAATGGTGCAGAAGTGGACCTGATGGGGGGTGTACGGAGAACAAATGAAGCGATGGGAATGGCAATGAGCAATGGTGTGGAGGCGGAGGGTGTCAATTCAGTAGCAGATTTCAGGGTAAGGGATGGAGTCAATTTATTTGATGGTTTTCATGGTGGGGGGGCTCAGTTGCAGATTCAGCCTGGAGGGATCTCCCGAAGTTTTAGCCATGGGCTGTGTGAGACTGGTGTGTTAAGAGATGGGGTGGTGGTGGCTCTTCGGTCTATAACTGGTTCACAATACTATGCTGCCAGGCAAAAAGGTCCGGCAAGAGGATGGCATTTGGAGACCGTCAGAGGGCTGACCCCCAAGGATCCCTCGGCGCAATTTCTTGTTGTGATGAAGAATAAGGTAAGCCATTGTGTTTGTTAAGCAATCCCCTTCCTCTTAACCTATCTCCATCCCCTTTGTCAGTACCTGAGTGTGTGGACTCTCATGTCTATATGGTGATTTTTTGTGTGTACCTTATTGTATGGCCCATGCCAGTTTTTTGGGGATGGTGCTGAATCCGATGCCACTTCCTGAATACCCATCAGTGTCATGTCGATAGAGGCATGATGGACTGTTTCCTGAGTATTTAGGCAGTGGTTCCTTTTTGACATTCTTGGCAGATTACTCAGCCGGACCTGTGTCCTGTGGCTGAAGAGTCTAGACTGAATTTATATATTTGTGGCAATAGTTGCTGAGGTCAGATTTGGTATTGGTTCTCTCGCACCGCAGTTATCAGCCAGATCTGTGGGGCTTCTGCTCGCTTACGATGGGGTATTAATGACCAGTCTGCAGAGTCTTCTGTCTGGTGTGGGTTGGTGATATTCTGCTTTGATTTTCGTCACAGGTACAGTCGAGGGCAGTGGTTAGTGCGCGCCTTGGGGTATCTGGAGTGGGGCAGTGGTCGGTGCCCAATCACAATTGGGGTTAATCATGTACAATACCATAGGTTAGGGGACTCTGCAGACTGTAGAGGGTTCAGCCTCCTGATGAGTCGGTGAAACTCCAAGGAAACAGCCTGTCACACCGCCCGGTTTCTTGTCCTTTTCGCCCTTTCTGCCTTATGGCTCACCGGCACATGGGGATGCGGGCATCTCGCGCTCAACTTCATCAACGTCGCGAGCCCTTTTTAGTTCATAGATATGTGACAATATATAAGTGAAAGAAAGATGAGACAGAACTGCAGGGAAAGGCAAAAGAATGTGCCTCATTCTGTCTGTTATTTTAGTATTTTCTTTGCTTGTTTTGCAAAGTGAACTCTTTTAGTGGATAAATACGTGACAATAAATATGCTAACATATGCTTAGTTGCATGTGGTTATTTGGGACTGTAGTAGTAAATGCCATCACATTTGGATGACCCTGAATGCTATAGCTGAGCGAAGACTGGGTACTATAGCTTTGACACTGTACTTATCAGACATATACCTTATTGCTAGTTCATTGGATACTATCATATGGGTATTTGCGACTGCAGTCCGTGTGGCTGTGTTGTTTTCAGTGGCTCATAGGTGTTCTGTCTGTTCCGGTCTTTGCAAGGCAAGTTGGACCTGTGTCAACAGTTCGGTCTCCTCTGCGCTACAGGGCTTTGGTCGGAAAGGGCTGTCCCCTATTCTTTTCAGCTGTCGTGTTGATGTTATATCAGGCACAATCAATGGGCATTGCCTTTTAGTCTGCATAGTACTTAGCAATTGAGTGAGTTTTTTCAATGACGAGCATAACCAGAAGCAGCCTTGTGAAGTAGTAATTGATAACTGATTACTGGTGGGCAGAGCCGTGTGACGGGCAGAGCCTTGTGAAGTAGCAGTTTATATCTGGCGTTTTTTTCTGGCAGTTCTTGGATTAGTATCTCATTCACTGAATACTCCTTACTTGCTGCCTTGGTTTTCCTGTCCTAAGTCCTCGCTTAGCCCTTCACTGCCAGGCCCCCATTTCATTACCCGGTGTAGTAGTGTGGATCGAGTGCTGCCACTGAAATATGTTTAAGTCCCGGTTGGTCTTTTGCTTTTTCAGTTGTGCCCAAGGGGCAAATATTCTGATAGACAATGCCTGTGAGAGCATCCAATGTAGCGAGTCATTAGGTGGGGTTTGGCAACCAAATGAAAGGCATATCCTGGCTGTATGTTCCATCCAGCTACTTTGATACGTGGAGGGGTGGTTGGTTACCTTGTTGTTCAGAAATTTCTTTCTTGTTTTTTTTGTCACACCTTTCTGAGCTCTATCCAGTAGAGGTGTTTGATGACCCTGATGGAATGACCTGCTTGTCATTGCATCCAGCTGCCAATGTCCACCTCCACATGTCTAAGGCTTGCATGCTGTGCTTCTGTTGTTCTAGACAGCCAGTCACTGCTTCTGACTTCATTGGTGGATGGGCGGACGTCTGAGGTGGGCTGCTAGTGACAGAAACGTTGACATTGATGAACAAAGCAGCGGGCCTCTTTTTGTAGAAGTCTGGATTGTCTGTTGTGGCTGTTGTTGGAATTTCTAATTACCATAAGATCTTTAGCATGGTGACAATTGGGGCGTCTGGTCAGGCATCTGGACTGTCTGATTGTAAGAATAAGTGTATTGGGATGCTCCATTTGTATATATTTCAAGCATGCTTTTTTCCCGGTTTTGTCAGGTGGATGTCCTCGGCCTGGTCTGCACCCATGCAGAAGAAAGGGATGACTCCGTACGCAGAGTCTGGATCCCCCTTTACAGTGACAATCTGTGTCCGAGTCTGCATCACCCACTGACGTGACACAATATTAAGCGGACACATTGGGAGTCTTGGAGAGGGCACACAACTTGTCCATCCCTGCCACTCGACAGCTCTCTAGAATGACACAGTTCAAGTGGGTGTGTTGCACTTCTTTAGAGGGGCTTATTGGATCTCTGAGGTATTTCGCTCTGACTGCTTCATTGGACTTTATGGGCATAGTTTCCTTCTAGGGGGCACACAACTTGTCCATCCCTGCCACTTGACAACTCTCTAGAATGACACAGTTCAAGTGGGTGCGTTGCACTTCTTTGGAGGGGCTTATCGGATCTCTGAGGTATTTTGCTCTAACTGCTTCATTGGACTTTGTGGGCATAGTTTCCTTCTAGGGGGCACACATTCTGTTGCAGATTATGGGCGTATGCCAGACTGTGGGCGCTTATGCATGACAGACATTGGAAGTAGATGAAACTGGGGATTTCATCAAACAGTTGGCATCTGTCAACTCTGATCTGTATGTCGCATTGACGCGAGGGTATGGAAATCTTTCAACCGCTGCGTGGAAGAGCAGGGATAGAAAGGTATAGCTCTTTTGAGAATGTTCTGCCCAGTTTACTTTCGACAAGATACCTTTGCCCAAGTGGGGGAAATGCTCACCTACCTGTAGTTGTAGATGGCTGGATAAGCCATAGGCTACTCGCACAGGATTTTGGATGCGTGGTCTCACGTTGTAAGGAAATGTTGTCTCTCGCATTCGATATATATGTTATACTCACTTTACATTCTTGTTTTCATGTACATGTACTCACTATACGTTTGTGTTTCTATGTACATATCTGCCGTGTATCACATAATTGTGCACTCCTGTTCATGTAATGAACGTCTTTGCGCCCAGTGTTGATGGACCCTTTGAGGAGTGCTGTGTTGGTAAGCATCCCCATTGTGTGTATGTGAATCTTCGCTTCATTTATCATTGACCATTTACTGATAAGAATCATATGCCTGCACCTATACCCTTCTCATGCAGCTGTGGAGTCCAATAAAGATTGTGTTTCGTGTCCTCTGTTTGGTTTTCTGCTAAGACCCCTGTGATCGATCGCTAATGAGTAGGTATGTAACTTTGAGTTGCTCACTCTCATGACGACTTCCTCTATGTGTGTGTGGGGGGAGGGGGGGGGGGGGCGTGGGCCCTTGCATCAGTGGTTGAGTGGGTGCATGGAAGTGATTGCTTACACACCTCGGCCCAAGCGGGCGGTGGGGGGGGAAGCGGGGCAGGTGAGGGAAGAGGAGGGCACATATCACCGTGTATTTCATCAGCCCACTTGATAGTTGATTTGGAACTTTTTGGTAGACTTTCCCAGAGTCATTGCTGGCTGCTATTTACGTATGTTAGACATGTACGGGTATATATGACTGTTACAAACAGAGTGTTCTTCCTGGCTCTCTGTCTGTGGACATAATTCTTTCCATGTGTTCCAACAATGTGATGCAGAGAGGGGTGGGAGTGAGTGTTTGCTTGGAATGAGACTTTGGTGGGACTTTGATGATAACACTGCTGGAGCAGAGACCTTATTTCCTCCTCTCTGGGCATGAACGGGGTGTGCGCACTCGATGTGCAGGCAGGGTACACAGTCGTTGGGGTCCGGGAGGTCGACTGGTTAATGGGAGCTGCTCTTTTCCCACTAAAGAAAGTGTGGAATGGTGTTCTGAAACTGAATGACTTCGGGAATCGTGATCAACAAATTAAAGGGTCATGTGACTGCTTTCAGGCATCGCAGTCCCGTGTCTTGCACGCAATGGCAGGCGTTCCCATCCCAACCGAGTTCTGGTCGCCGACATGTCTTTATTCAGCCACTGTTAAGGTTTTTTTCTTATTCAGGCTCACTTGATCCAGGCCTGGATTTGCCTGCTGCCACCCTTACCTTGGACCATTACTCTCTGGAGTGAGATTGACATGGCATTTCCTCTGTCTTTGTGCTCATGATTTTCAATTGTTCCCCTACCAAATCTTCATCATGTCACCTGTAATGGTTTTGATGCCTTCCACATTCTTTCTTTGATGCCACAGGCTCAATTGATCCAGGTCCGGATTTGCCTTTTGCCACCCTGTCTTGACCCGCTGTTCTCTGGAGTGATGTTGGCATGGCTGTTTCTCTGTCTTGTGCATACGATGTTCAACTCGTCCCCTACCAATTTTCATTATGTTCCCTGTAATGGTTTGATGCCTCACATGTACAACAGTCTCTCGTTGATGTCACTGATATCAGTGAACGTAAGATAGTGTGATTGCTCTTGGCATTGCATCTGCTCTTCGGGTGCTATTGCTAGGTGTCTACCATGAATAAAAGATGTTTCCTGTCAACAAAGACCGAAACGAAACCAGATGTGGCAAGAGTTCGTTTCCCATTTGGCCTGGGACTCAGTGTGATGTGGCAAGAGTTCGTTTCCCATTTGGCCTGGGACTCAGTGTGATGCATTCTTTGTGTTGTCGGACCTTGTGGTACATTTCTTTGCATATTCTCGGCGCTGCACTCTCTCCTTCCCGGCATCACGTTCTTTTGGCACTGCACTCTTTCGCCTTCTCGGCAGTGCGCTGTTTTTGCTTTTCAGCATGGCACTCATTCTCCTTGTGCTACTCCGTATTCTGCCTTGTGAAACTCGTAATACATTTCTTTGCATATTCTTGGTGCCGCACTTTCTCCTTCTCTGCATATTCTTGGTGCCACGCTTCTCCTTCTCGGCGCCATCTTTCTCCTTCTCTTAACTGCGCTTGTCCCTTTTCTGCACTGCACTCTTTCCCCTTTTCCACAATGATTCCTTTCTCCCTGTGTTTCTACATGCACTATTAGTCGACATTTAATACAGTAAAGCCATCCTGTAATGCTATCACTGAATCGTCTAATGCAATCTTCTTTTATCTTATCCATGATCTCTCATCCATAATGGTTGTCTGCACTGTACGCTCTGGTTATGCCCATGCGGTGCACAGTGAGATTCAAGCCCATGGGAGAAAAACTGTCACAACATGCATTGGTCCTCTTCGGGTGGTCATGCTTGGCCATGAAAGCTGTCACGAGAGTGCTACGAACTCTCTGTAGTCTAGGATCTGAACTGCCAGTGTATGAGAGGGGAACTTCCTCTTCATGTATTGTGTGGAAGTCAGAAACGGATTCAGCAATGGTTTCCTTTGAGTTTTACTCGTGGTGGTCCCCCACAGAGTTTGAACACCGTGCATTTTAGAATTTGCTTGTGGTATCTCCAATTATTTTGTGAATGTATTTCATCTGATGAACCATGCACTGGTTCATTGCATGCCCAGCTTCGCGTGATCATTTACAGTTACAATGGTTAGCAGGATTGGTTCTGTGATGCAGAATCCTACGAGTGGAGATCAATGTTTGCTCTCTTTTCTTTTGCGAACAGCTACCGTCGTATCTCTCTGATGTTATGGTCCAGTGTTTTCACTTTTAAATGGTGTTTCGCCTAGAGCACTTGAGTTGTACTGCTGTGGATGCTGTGCACGCCAGAAGGTCTGCCGTGCTTCTGCTTTGGGGGTCCTTTCCCTCACACCACAAATGTCCCTTTGCTTCAGGGCACACAGAGTCTTACACGTCACATATTGTTGAGTTTCCTGCACGATTCTGTCATGGAAGCATGATACTCTCAGTGGGCGCTTTTCGTTCTTCCCAGGTCTGAGGGGAATACAAGCTGCTCCCCATTCAAATTCTCCTTTGGCTATCGCGTTTAGAAGCTTTTCAAGAGAGGTACTGTTAATAGTTGTTTGATTGGGGCCCGGAGTCATAGATCCCTTTTGTGATTACGCTTATCGGTCAGCATTGATCTCTGTAGGTTGCACTGGATCGGATACTGCAGCCAAGCGAAGCATGAGTTGCACTTCTTCTCCCAAGGCCCTCCTGTCACAGCATGTATGGATTGCCTTCTGCCCACCCGAACTTCGGTAGTCCTACACTGTACAAAGGAACACTGTACAAACTTCCTTTACGTTCCTGTTGCATAGGAAGTCTAATGGTTAACAAAACATTAATTAGTTGAGTTTTGCTGGCACTGCTTACTCTGTTTTTTTTTTGTTCTTTACCTTTCTTTCCGGAGCTTGACTTAGCTTTCGGCAGCGGAAAGCTAAACCCAGTACTTCTATTCCATCGTTTTGAATTTCCAAGAATACAGCGATATGTCAAGCTGAGTAAGAGGTTCTGTCTCTACTTTTGTAAGGGAAGAACAAGTTGACACCGCCATCTGGTGGCATGATAAGTATCCTGCAAGAGGACATGGGACATGGTGGGCAGGAAGTGGTAGCTGTGATGACAAAGGAACAGGTTTTTAATCTACTAGTACTACTACATTCTATTGAAGTTCTTCTCGTCCCTTCTGCAGTCTGGCTCATCAGGGCCTTTGGATAAGGAGCTTGTTTCCTGGCATCTATCGACAGTGTCCTGGAATTCCTACTCAAAAAGCATCCAGGGACAGACCGCGTGACAATTCTAACTGTGAAATCTGAAGGCTGTTTTCATTATTTCTTTCTTTGTCATTTTTGTGACATTTTTTTTGGCCTTTCACATTTGGTAAGTGGCACTGCAAAGCCCTCGATGCAGAGCTTTTTGAGATTTTCATCGAGTTAGTGGCATGGCGCCTTGGGGTCTAACTGAGGGGGCCCAGATAATTCAAGAAAGGATTTGACCTCACGCCGGTATTTCAGCAGTTCATCGGTGTGCAACTGAGCTAGGCACATTGGGTTTTCAGACGGGTTTTCTGCGCTGGTCAGCACTGCCCGGAAAGGAACAGGCAGGTGGAGAAGAGTCGAGCTGCGTGCAAATGGGCATGCGGAAGTGCAGCCTCTCTCTCTCTCTCTCTGTGCCTGCGATGTTGTACCTGAAGATGGCGGAGAATTCCACTCACACTCAACCCAGAAAGGACATAGGTGAGTCCCCGCGGTGTGGCGAAGCGCTCCCTTCCTCCCTCCTTTCCTCCCTGCCTCTCTCTCCCTCCCTCCCGCCCACCCTCCCTCTCTCTTAGCCTTGTTGTGAGCGAAGAGGTGGAGGGTTCCGTTCACAGTAGGCCCCAAAACCAAATAGGTGGGCTCGTCTTGCGTCTGTGAAGTGCATCCCCTCTCTCTCTCTTCTCCTCCCTCCTCCCTCCATCCACATTTAGGGCTGCAACTCCATTTTTTGTGGAGGCGCCATGTTGCAAGCAGTACAGGAACTTTGCACAGCCCCTATCGGAAGGAGTAGGTGGGGATCATGCCGTGCATGCGGAGAGGCAGGGGGAGAAGGAAGAGTAGGGTCAATCACCTGGTCATGCAGGGAGGAGAAGGTTGCCATCAAAATTTGAGAGGCAGGAGTAGCAGGAGAAGGACGAAGGGGGAGGTTGGGGATGCAGGATCAGGAGGATAAGAGAGTCGGGATTTGGTCGGTCAGGATGGGATGCGACTACAGAGGAAGCAGGAGAGTCACCGTGATAGGGTGAAGCAGGCAGAGTAAGTCTGCTGGCGTTAAGGAGATTGTGGAGGAGGAAGACGTTGAGGAGGGTCCTAAAGTAAATGGTCGCAGGATGTAGGTCAGGGACCTGATTTGTGAAGAATGCGATGGGCAGCACGGATTTGGAGGGGGGCGATCAGGATGTGGGATGGAGAGCAGGAGGAGGTTGGATGCCAGCCAATCAGGGTGAGGATGTAGGAACCGATGAAGTGCAGGGGAAAGAGGGCCAAGCACAAGGTAAGAAATGCAGGTCAAGTAGAGGGATGTGGACAAGGTGGGGAAGAAGAGATTGCGAGGCAGGAAGAGGATCTCAGAGTGGAGGGGAGGGAACATGCAAGGAAAGGATGGAGCAGGATAGTGACAAAGGGCCTCAATCACGGGAGCGATAGGGTAAATGTGGATATGGAGGTGATGGAGAGAGAGCAAATAAGAGAGAATGAGCGACGGAGAGAGGACGAGAGGAAAGGACACACCAGATCCACAGGGGCCACATCTAGTATTGGAGAGAGGAGCTAGAAGAGGATCCCAATGAAGGAGAGAAAGTCATGGAGAAATAGGGGAAGAGAGAGGTGACAGACACAGGACATGGAGAGAAAAAAGGATGGGGAAAAGCGGACCAAGGATCAGGAGGGGGATGGAGGGCGCAAGTTGAAATATGGAATGGGCCAGGTGGTAGGGAGGGAATGGAGAAGGAAGAGAGAGAGAGAGAGAGAGAGAGAGAGAGAGAGAGAGAGAGAGAGAGAGAGAGAGAGAGAGAGAGAGAGAGAGAGAGAGAGAGAGAGAGAGAGAGAGAGAGAGAGAGATCTGTAGTTGGACCCGTGATATCTCATTGACATTTCCATGTGTGTGGGCGTAGCCGCAATGGCTTTACGTGTCTCCTTTTATGTTCCTTTGTCTCAGTGAGGCCAAGTGTTTTACGATGGTACTTGGAGAACATCTGATGAAAGGAAGTTGATATTTTGATTAACTCATTCAAGCAGATTTACATCTGGAATTGTGTGAAAGTAGGTGGATCCTGTACATATAGAGCACGCACCCTTGAAACCAGCTCTCCCCTCACATTTGGTAACGTTTGTAGTCTAAGAGATTCCTTCCTCTTTTTTTGGGGTCCTGTTTTTGGTTTAGAAGTTAGATGCCGACATATTCTGGTTGGCGACCAAGGAAGCAAGTATCGAAAGTGCCGATAACTTTCTGTTCGCGTCATAGTGGTCGAGGATTGTGGTAACTTTTCTCCCACTTCTCTCCATCATGGTTGGTCGAGAGATGTGTAGCCCCACCCATGCTTTCTTTGTTATAGATCAGGGATTTATAATGTTTTCATGCGGGCCCT